AGAGTGAGGAAAAGAGAGTTTAAATCTTGGTAAGGCCGAGAATGGTCACTTACAAAAAGGCTGAAAACAAAGACAACACACCTACTCCCAAGCAGGTCACTCCTGAAACAAAGTCGCACGCCAAGCTTGGAGAAGACTCCGACAACATTGAATACACTGCCCTGCGCAAACATGTTTTATTTTACATGGATAATTGAGCACATTAAACTGTCAAAATCCCCACATTGTTACCTCCAACAAAAACCAACTCTTCACATTTAAAAATAAACGTTATCTGGAAAAGATTAAAAGGCCAAATCCTGGGGGCGTTGTTACCTCTGAAGAAGACAGGACAGGAATGGGGTGGAGGAGCTTGCTGCGGGGGAAGTTCATTTTATGTGTAATGTTTCGTTGTCAAATAAAACTTGAAACACGTGGAAATAGTGAACAGCGGGCACAGGAGTGCTTGTTGGATTCTTCTCTGTAATTTTCTGCATGTTTGCAGCATTTCATCATTTTAAAGTTTTAAAATGTTAACGAAAGCATGGATCTCCGTGTGCGTACTGTGAGATACAATCTGAGGTTTGGGTGAAAACTGGCATCCTGTTGAACTGCTTGAATAACCATTGCTATAAAATGTATAAATGTAATTATTACAATTATTTTATGACTGTAAATCGAGGCATCCAGAACCTGGAAAGTCTGTGACTCAGCTAGGCCGGTCCCTCTGCCAGGGAAAGATGCAGCGAGCGAGCCTGGGCTGCATGGGGCACACCAGCGCAACTCGCGCCAGGCAAACGCGCATCCGGAGCGCCCAGCCCTGCCTTCTCGTTAGGATACTTGAGAAGCTTATGACATTTTCAAACCTTGTTTCTTTAAGAAATAAAAAATAAAAAATAAAGGTATCTCGCCAAGTTTGCCAGTTCTCCATGGTCGGCTATAAGCTCAGTTGCATGAGGCTTAGAGACAAAGGGGAGGTGTGGACATCATACTCTGAGATGGGATGGGGTGCCTGTCTGTGTCTTGTGGCCCTGACTGCTACCTGCGTGGGAGCCCGCCCTGTCAAAGCAGCACGTGCAAGGAGGAAACAGAATCGGGGAGAAGTGTAAGTGGTGTTGCTACAACGCTCACCAGTGTGATGCTCTCACCGGCACACTGTACAGTGGCTGTTTCTTGCCTTTAAGGCGTTCACAGAGGAGCAACCCTAAACGCCTCACTGCCCCGCTGAAGGTCAGTTCCATTACGAGGTGGATCTTCTCAGCTCCACCAAAATATCCCCACGTCTAGCTGATATTGAATGGGCTAATTCGCAAGAGAAAGCAGCAACAGGTATTTAATTTCAATCTATTCTTTCACCTGGTTTCACTAATCGTTAAGAAAAAAAGAAATGCAGATGAGTATATAGCCAGCTTACGGTTCGTTCCTCATTTAATTGTTTGGTGTATTAAATGAGTATTTTTGATGCAAATCTGTGATGACTGCAGAATACAAACATTACTTGAAAGGATCTTAACTAAATGCAATATTAAAACGCCTCCTTGGGTGACTATCTTATGGGGTTGTTTTGTTTCTGATATCAAAAGGCTAACAAAGTGAATGTGCTTATCGACTTTATACTTCAAAGTGAAAATTATGCAATACATTCAGCAGCTGTAAGTCTAATTTAACATATGGAAAAATGTATTCTACCATTCTGAAAATATATATATTTTTAACATTTCTGTTCAAGAGTATCATAAAGATAGAAGGTTGAAACAGTTGAGTCATGCTACCTTTGATTACAGAAATGCTCCCAGTTTACAACAGTGTTACGTGTCTAAGAAAACAGGTTTGTTTTCAAACTGAAATGAGTTACTGCAGAAACATTTTCAGAAGGCATATAGAAAGGCACATAAGATTTATTCTATGAGTTGTTTCCTAAATTATACTAGTGATTCCTGACTTTAATCATCCACTGTACTTTCTTATTGATTTGTTTGGTTACCTGCATTTTACTGTGTATTAAGATCCTCTCGCCACGTGTTCAAAAAAACTATTACACAAATCATTTCAAATGTGACCTGCCACATCTAATGTTAAACAGTATATAATAGACACTGAAAAAGTTCTCAGGAACTTTCGCTGTGTGAACCCTACAGAAACCCTTCAAATAAAACACAGCTTCTGTGTTCAGGGCAGGGTGTTTCCAATGAATCAGTTCACAGGCCTTGGCACATCAAGTCCCCCAGGTGGATTCATTACTTCTCAACAGCCATCCCACATCTCTTCTTCCTGAGGTTTTTAAACTGTGTTCAAATTGTTTACTTCACAAAACAGATTTGTTAATTACGATGTATGTGACGCTTTTTTTAGAACTTATTGCCAAGCCCACCATTCTAAGATTGGTCAAGTTTTACTTCAGCTAAACAGAAACATGATAGATTACTGGAATTTAAAAAATGAAAAGTAACATTTCAGAGAAAAACAGAATACTTGTAAGGCCCTTAGCTGTTTTTGGGTCCTTATTTTCCTTGAAAATACACTAAGGAGATTGACTCCATTATCTTCCCAGCCATAAAAGGGGAACCTCCTTCGGCTATTGTTAGTGCGGGGGGCGGGGCTCACAACATGCCCCCGCGGTGTTAAAATCATTTAAAACCGCAAAACTTCAACATGACAAGTAGTGTTTTCTCATAATGGCCTCAAGTAAGTGCCGTGCCTCTGGTCCAAGGAAGCTTCTTGTGTTTTAATTACACTAAGCAGAATTTAACTACAGAAGTTGTTCTAAGCCGGAGATGAAACTTCCCGGGCTGCACTGGGTTTCGGTATTAGTGGTTTGGGACATTTTTCACAAGCAGTAATTCAGGTGAAAAGACTGTTTCATCAAAACACAATGGCACAGAATATGAAAGGAAGTTCTGCAAGTACCAAAAAAGACAAATAAAAGCAAGTATACACCCCACCTGAGCAGGCCCCGCAAACAGAACTTAGGAGCACGCTGACAGATCCCGAGGTCCTGAGCCTGTTCACTACGTGTGCCCCTCAGGTACTCTGACTTTAAAGGAATGCATAAAATATTGGCCCCATTGCTCTGCAGTAATGTATTTTTAACAGTTAGTTCTCAAACCATTCTTAATGAGTACACACATTTAATTATTGGTGGGTGTTTTTAATATCTGAGCTACATCAATGAACCGAGGACTGATATCACATTGTTCCCATTTACGAAATGCCTTGCTTTTCTACATTCAATTATCAACCAGGAAATGGAATGTACAAAGGCCAGACCCTTTCTGTATGTGGGAAAAGTCAGATCAGGAGCCAGCAGCTGTTAAGAAACCAGAAGGCTGCGCTCATCTGGCCTTGGGAGTGCCCCGTTTCCTGCCTCTGAGCAGCCGCCTTGAGGGCCGCTGGGCTGATGGGCCAGGGCTGCAGTCTCACCCTCTTGCCCTCCAGGCTTGAGGCAGGAGCGGTCTCCCTCCTCCCTGCCCTCCCTCCCTCCACTGCGGTTTGGATTCAGGTGTTAGAAGAGGATTTAAGGAAAACATTTACTTGAAACACACACACACACACACACACACACACACACGATTTTATAATTAAAGCCACATAATTAGGAGTGACAAGCTCAGGCTGGCAGTATGCAGACTATATGACTTCCAGTAAAAAACTTAAGAAAAATGAAACAAAACAAAACCCTTACATTGTTTACCAACCTACATATCTAGCACTAGAAGATTCCACTGATAGCTCTGATAATGTCATGTGCAAGTGAACAATTCTTTATGTCAAGGCCAAGAGACGATCCTCTGATGACCCTAATTCTGGAGACGGAAGATGCCCTCCCTGAATTTTACACACCACACACACACGTAATTTTTCTTACGGCCTCTCCCAAATCCTTAACCCGTGGGCATTAGACAGTCTTAAAGAGGGCTTTCTTCCAGCAGTCGACGCTTTCAGAGCAAAGAGCAACGCGCAGCCACGCAGCCTCTCTCACGCCTTTCTGAAAAGGCGGATAGTTCTATTTCTGTATCACCAAGTAAAGCAAACTTTAAGTCGTTTTTCTAACCTCGCATATTAGTTTCAGGGCTGATCATTCGAACAACTAAAACTGATCATGTTTTCTTAATATTCACATTTATGGCAAATATTTTTCTAGAAGCCAATGCCAACTACTGATGTTTTCCTCAGTGTTAAGCGGATATTTTATCTATACTAATTGAGAAATCAGGAGGCATTAAAATGTAAGCCCCAGTGACCTGAGATACAAAGTGGAATCACCACCTCATCCATGAGAGACAGGAGACAGTCACGTCTGGCTGCTATTTTCCTGCACGTGAATAAAAATGCAAGTATTTCAGCGTCCCCGGAAGCCTTCTGGGTGCCTCCTAAATTGTTTTCTTTTCACTTCTGCTGCTCATCAGTAGAGATTTCTATCCATGTTCTAAGAAAATGTGTGCATCCTACCAATTCATCCATAGTGGTTACCTCGAGGAAATAATACAGCTTTGATTTGTGCTTTAATGTCACAAGATCAAGATGAAAAACTTCAAACTGTGATGCTACATTTCATTTACCAACTAACAGAAGTGCTCTGGTACTGTACAGGTTGCAGAATTCACCTTTCCTCCGCTCTTCCCACTTAGACATTTGTTCCAAGAAAATCATGCAAAAAGTTCCTCATCAGAGTCTTATTCCCTGGCATGACTATCTTCATGGACGCTTTGAGCACAGCATACTAGAGAGTACTTTTAGGGCAAATACTTCCCAAAACACTGCATTTGCAAAATGACAGAATGAATCTGGCCGCCTTTCTGCTCCACTCCCAGATCATTTGGGAGGGGAAGTGCTGAGGGTCCTGGCACAAACCTAATGCAAACGCGAAACAGGTTGACAACACACAAAATCGACTTTGCTGTTTGCTGGAGGTCAGTTAAGAAAGAACTGCAAAGAGCTGAATCGTGCTGTTCCGTTAGCCGTCGTTCTGGAGGGGGAAGTCTGAGACCAGCATGTCCTGCAGAGACACACACAGCCCTTACCGTGTCTCCAGGCTTGACAGAGACGGCCACCACCACTCCGGGCATTGGGGAACGCAGAACACTGCTTGTGTCCTCGGTCACTTTTTCTAGCATAAATTTGTTCAATTCTGCGGCGAGTTTGGTTAAGATATTCACCTTGTACTGAAAGGAAAAATAAAACGAAACCATAAATGAGTTCAAATGAACTTTTCCTCAAAAGTAACATCCATTCTAAATCAATTTTTAGCTTTTAAATTCAAATTACAGTAACATCCTTAAATTCAAATGGTTCTCAATTGCTGTACACATCAAAATATATTTGTTCCTGTCATATATTGTGAGCTAGTTATTTCAGAAATATCTTGAAATAAGGACTATTCCAGTTATTAATATTAATCATTGATAAATATCATCCTATATCTTTAAGAAAAACATCTCAAAACGTTATAAAGAAAACTGAGAATTTTACTTGTATTCCCTTCACCGCCTACAAACTTATCCCCATCAAGGAAAATCCCGTGAGCTGGGCAGGCCCCAGGGATGGAGGAGGTGACGTGTGGACAGGCGCCAGTAGATGGCAGCAGATGGCTGTCGCAGCTTCCCACAGCCCTCCAAGAGCGGCTGCGCTACGTATCAGTAAGTTAAGACAATGGGGTTCAGTGTTCATTTTGGGCAACATAGTATTTGAAATTCCATTTTTTCAGTGACAAAAACTGCTATATTCATGACTACAAAAGCTGGCTTTTCTTAAAGGCACTACATAGTCTTTCTGATGTAACAAGATGGTTAGGAAAAGACACAATAATGAGAATGCCTTCTGCACTAAGAGACAATAACATCAAGATGTTATAAACACTGATGGAAAATACACACAGACAAGTATATTCACGGCACCTTCTGTAGGTGGCTCTCAAATAACCGGGCGTATTCAGGGCAGTTCAGTGAAGCAGAACATTTCAAAAAAGAGAATTCCTATCCTCTCCGTGAATAAATCTATGAGCCACAATTTGGTCTATCCAAACAGAAAAATGATAAAATGGTTTGAGGAAGTGTCTCTCGGTGAAATTGGAACCACCACCCGAAGGTTCTGGATCCCTACCAGGTCTGATTTCTCTTGGGTAAGAAAGAAGCAGCAGTGAGACAGCTCCATTTTCTTCAAAAAAAACCCAAAAAACCAAAAAACAAAAAAAACAACCTGCTGTAACTCAAAGCCTCCTGTGGGCATCATGATGGCAGGGATGCAAAAACAAAATATAATTCCCCCTTTAATTCTGTATGGGGATGGCGGGAATCTGTAAGTGCCTCTTCACAGGGCCTACTGAAAAGGGTGGGGGGAGAGCTTTGATGGCCAAAGTTCCAAGTGGATTTGCGACACTGTGACAGGTTGAATAATAACATCTTTTGCGTGTTTCTTTACTCCTGAGTGTGTGTTTTGCAATCAAGGCATAGAAGCGTCTGCCAGTTTCTGAAGGATATGATCCTTAAGTGAAATTACAGTGCAAATAAAAGCTTTTTGCTCCTATTAAAATTCATCTGAGTCATAAGTGGTGAGGGAAAAAGCGAGGAGAGTGCACGCTGCTGTCAGTCTAACAAACATTCTGGGCAGAGGGACTATTTATCAGTGATGAATTGTACCTCCAAGTCCTTCATTAAATCAATGGGGGAGGGTGTGGAGGGACAGAGGGGACTATAATTGGACCAAATTGCAGTTTTTGTGTCTGTGCTGTCTGCCATAAGGGAAAAAATCCAACATCACTAGAGGCATCAGACTCAACAAAAAAAGTTACTTTTCTAGTTGGTATCGCCCTGAGCTGCGCCTTCTATACGACTGATTTGCAACGTGCCTCGTTCAGTTTTCAGTGTAGCACACAGATCTATTTTTTTCTTGTTTTGCAGAATTCGACTTCAAAATGTGAAGCCTAAATCCAGGAAAAGTATCTTCATACACTGAGAATATGATTTATACCACATTTCACCACAGTGGATATACTCCAGAACTAAGTTTAGTTATATCACAGATCAGCCTGCATAGGAACAAAGTGCTAAGACTGTATTTAGCTTCATTTCTCCCCAGAAATTACAAGATTCTGACTAACACTGGATCCTTTTACTATTTTTATAATTTTCATCTTTCAGATTCCTTTCTCTGTCGGACTCCTGCTTTGCTTGGAAAGAGATGTAAGAGTCACAAACTGAGTGCCTTCAGATGCAGTCTTTGTTACTGATGAGACGTTCCTTTTCCTTTTGTATTTGTTTATTGTTCTTAAATCTGTTTGGGGGATAAGTGACTTATTGTAATAGCAAGTAAAAATAACAACGGGGTAAACTCCTCCAGAGAGGCCTTGGTGCAAATAGTTGGTTTAGAAATGACCTTTCTGAATATAAAAAGAGAAGGCAGAGAGAGAGTCTCTTTTTAAGATTACCTTTGATGTTGTCCTGACCCCGTGAGTGTACCACACAAACACGCCTTCTTAAAACAACCTCTCAGCTGGCCTGTGCTGTGCCGCACGGGGCGCGTGCCGGGATGGGGCCCAAGCGGGGTGCAGCACATGGGTCCATCAGAATGAACTGCCTGGTGAGAACCGTAAAAGCTTTTTGATGCCCCAGAAAAGAAGTCATTTAAGAATGTACACCAGGACTTTCCAAGCTGATGATCAAAACTGCTATTTATTGGCGTCTCTGGATTCTTCGGGGGCACAGAGCAGCCAGTGTTTTGTGAGACTTCAGGAACGCGCCCCTACCTGGACCGCAGGGTGCAAGCTCGGTTTCACGGTGGGCATTTAACTGTTCCTCAGCGCTTGTGCGAAACTCCCCTAGAGAGTTGTGATTTTAAGTTTTTTGTGGTTGTTTTCAAGCCGATAAATCACAACGTTGATGTCTGAGGGCAGGAATCGAAGACTCTGAAGGCTCGTGGACGGGACAGAGTAGCAGGATCCCAGCAGCAGCCAGGTTTTCCCGCTGCCTGGGTAGGGTGAGGAAAATGCCAGCATGGGTGACAGGCAGCTGCCTGTGGGTGGGGCTGGGCTGCCACGGAGCCGGAAGATGGTCCGCTCCAATGAGCTCAGGGCCGGTCAGTGCGTGGAACTTCACTCCTTCACTGCGCTGGCTCGGGAAGGCGCTCTCCAGACCACGCAGCCAAATGAAAAAAACGTTCTTGAAAAACAGCTCACCATATAAGTGAGAACAGAACAGGTGCTCTCTGGACTTGGCCCGGTGGGACTCCTCAACCCACACACGACAGTAATGGGAGGGAATTAGGTGTTATCTAATGACCCAGTGATGGAAAAGTGACCCCAGCCCTGGTCTCTAAGCAAATTAATTTTATGGCCTCTGCAGTGTGAAACCATGTCTAACAAGAAAATTTCTCCCAAAAACTTAGAAGAAAGAAGAGTCACAGCTAACATGAAAGGGTCAGGAAGAAAGCCACAAGAGCTGGACAATGGTAAGAAACTCCAGTGGGACTGTTTTTAAAATTGACATGCAGCTCTTCCATGGGCCTGATGAAAGGCTGGGGGCTGAGAGTGGTTGCTGCAGGAGGAGGCGGCTAGTCACAGTCTGGGTGAGAGAGGCACGTTATCACTGGACCTCATTCAGAAAAGCATCCTGTAACTGGGCATGTGTGTGTGCGCCCCAGCACCCCAGAATTCAGCACCCCAACGACAGCGAAGAGTCACCCGCCCTGAGACACCCTCCACTCTGACGGGCACACAGAACACCACCCTGGAGGCTTTTGTATTTGTACAGTACTGCACCTCACTGCAGTGTTAACTCCACCCACTTCTTCCACAGCCTGTGGAAATACCAGTCATGTCATTCTGCAGACCCCATGCGCTAATGTGCTGCGGTGATTCCGAGGTCTGCGGCTGCTCCCGAGGTGAGCGCTTGCAGTTGGCTGTACAGTTTTCAGCTGTGATTTCAGAGCCTCCGGTGCCACTGTCAACCTCTGTTCCTCTTCAAGTGGGCTCACTTCCAGTTTCCATTTCTAATTCATTCTTCCAGTAACAATTAGGACACGTACAGTTGACTGACTGTTAATGTTCTTTCATGTCCTCAACTGCTGCCATCTCGGTCAACACCAACTCAAGGGCAGGTGCTATCTTTGACTGTAAATCACTGTGCATCAGTTATCTTGAAGCACTGGCCAAATACTGTCCACGCAACCCTCACTAAGTAAGGTGGCAGACACTTCCAAACATTAGGCTCTCTTCCTAGTCAAGGTTTTACACCTTCTAGCCCCAAAGGTCTCCAACATTAATCTGTCTCATTTCCACAGCGTGGCAGTGAGAGCGACACTCAAATATGCCCCTAAAGGTCTACTGTCCTAACTCAGAGCTAGGGAAATAGTGTCAGTGTTTTTTAAGTGATGGGAAAGGGTGAAATGCAAAAATGATGCATCTTTAAAAACACTGGCATGTCAGAAAAGCAGAGAAAAACTGGATATAAACTAAAACACTTCAGTGGAATGAGACTCGTAATTCGACCACGTTCTCCTCTCCTCAATTCTCTGTAGGGTACACAATGATCACTTGAGGAAAAACATAGCAAGGTTCGGAGCCATACAAAATGATTTCCCTCCGCTTCCGCACAGGGCCCAGTGGCCTGATACCTGAGCTAAACCACCACCACCAATCTCCAACACACAACAGTGACGGTACACAGAATTGAAGCCTGCGGCTGTCCTTCCTTTGGAGGTGCAGCCCAGGTGAAGGAACAGACACGAACAGGCAGCAGCTAAGGCGCAGGGCGAACCACAGCCTCCTACAGCTGCAGTGGCTGGAACAGCCTGTTAGCATAATGCTGTGACAACTCCATCAGTGCAGTCTCAAGGTAGCTGTCAATCAGGATGCATCATTTAATCCAACAGCACTCGGAGGACTTTCTCCTACAACCCGCATGACAGCATATCTACAGCTCTATTTATGTCAGCGCCCAGTTGTGTTTACAATGTTGTTGTAATTAGAAAAGATGCAACAGGCAGCAATATTATTGAGATTTCCATTTTGTAGTATTGCCCTGTAAAGTGTGATCTTGCTTCACAGAGTCATGCTAAATGACAAAAGGCTATTTTCTTCAATCTCCCAGCTCAGACAGCACTTCATTTGCAGCTATCTATAATTAGATTAATGGTGTAGTGCGGTACAAAGCAGGCCCACTTCACATCA